ACGGTTTCTCCCCGCTGTCAATCAGATCAGAGTCAGAACAGAAACAGATCAGAATCTTCATCAGTCCCACAGAGGGGACGCTCACATTAGGCGCTTTCACACCGGAGTACTTTTCCCAGTATAGTTCTGATAGTTCTTGAAATGTTGCGTTCACACCAAAATCTGGAACTTAGTTCATGAGAACCTTTCCCCCCCTTTTCCGTCCCTGCTAGAGAGTAGGGACTTTCATGGGAGAAAAAGGTTCCCATTTCTGATTGGCTGGGCGGATTGCAAACCACGCCCCGTAAAACTCCCAAAAAGTGTTGTGAAGTTGCCCTTTAGCCAGCATTATTAGCATTAGCATTAGCATTAGCCCAGCGCAGAAACGCAGAGAGACTAACTTATGCAACACAAAAGCAAACATGGGAGTGGTGGAGATGAGGAGGTGTCGGCGTTCTGGTGATTTACTCGGAAGGCTTCAGTAGAAGCTGCTGGGAGTCCGAGCCCTGTGATCCGTGTCATCGAGTCGCCCTGTGATCCGTGTCATTGCGTCGCCCTGTGATCCGTGTCATTGCGTCGCTCTGTGATCCGTGTCATTGCGTTGCTCTGTGATCCGTGTCATCTAGTCGCTCTGTGATCCGTGTCATTGCGTCGCCCTGTTGGAGGAGCCTGGGACCTCAGATTCTCATCGTCACATCTACACTGTAGTTCTTCTTCTCTAACACGTGGCTTGTTGACATGAGGTCAGGGAACCGGGTCTAAGGTGTGACTCTCCTGATCCAGAACCAGGTCCCCATGTTCTTTCAAGGGTTCAGGTGTTTAACAGTCTGATGTGGAAGAAACGGTAGCTCTGTACAAATGACAATACATTAAAAGCATTGAATCTTGAATCTACAAAATCAACAGAACACACCTGTGGGTTCTCAGGTGGATCTTCAGGTTCACCGCCTGCCTGAAGCTCTTCCCACAGAGCTCGCAGCTGAAGGGCTTCTCCCCGCTGTGGATCGTCAGGTGGCTCTTCAGGTTCACAGCGTTTCTGAAGGCTTCAGGGCAGACGGGGCACTTCAGAGGCTTCAGCCCGGCGTGGATCAGCTGGTGGGTTCTGAGAGTCGACGCCCGCGTGAAGCCGTTCCCGCAATGAGAGCACTCAAAGAGCTTCCGATCCACGTGAGTGTGCATGTGGCGCCGCAGGTTCTGAACCATGTTGAAGGTCCGTAAACACACCTGAGGAACCACAGGAGAGAGGTGAGACAACTGAGGAACCACAGGAGAGAGGTGAGACAACTGAGGAACCACGGGAGAGAGGTGAGACAACTGAGGAACCACAGGAGAGAAGTGAGACACCTGAGGAACCACAGGAGAGAAGTGAGACAAGTGAGGAACCACAGGAGAGAGATGAGACACCTGAGGAACCACAGGAGAGAGGTGAGACACCTGAGGAACCACAGGAGAGAGGTGAGACAACTGAGGAACCACAGGAGAGAAGTGAGACACCTGAGGAACCACAGGAGAGAAGTGAGACAACTGAGGAACCACAGGAGAGAGGTGAGACACCTGAGGAACCACAGGAGAGAGGTGAGACACCTGAGGAACCACAGGAGAGAAGTGAGACACCTGAGGAACCACAGGAGAGAGGTGAGACACCTGAGGAACCACAGGAGAGAAGTGAGACACCTGAGGAACCACAGGAGAGAGGTGAGACACCTGAGGAACCACAGGAGAGAAGTGAGACACCTGAGGAACCACAGGAGAGAGGTGAGACACCTGAGGAAACCACAGGAGAGAAGTGAGACACCTGAGGAACCACAGGAGAGAGGTGAGACACCTGAGGAACCACAGGAGAGAGGTGAGACACCTGAGGAACCACAGGAGAGAGGTGAGACACCTGAGGAACCACAGGAGAGAGGTGAGACACCTGAGGAACCACAGGAGAGAAGTGAGACACCTGAGGAACCACAGGAGAGAAGTGAGACACCTGAGGAACCACAGGAGAGAGGTGAGACACCTGAGGAACCACAGGAGAGAAGTGAGACACCTGAGGAACCACAGGAGAGAGGTGAGACAACTGAGGAACCACAGGAGAGAGGTGAGACACCTGAGGAACCACAGGAGAGAGGTGAGACAACTGAGGAACCACAGGAGATAAGTGAGACACCTGAGGAACCACAGGAGAGAGGTGAGACACCTGAGGAACCACAGGAGAGAAGTGAGACACCCGAGGAACCACAGGAGAGAGGTGAGACACCCGAGGAACCACAGGAGAGAGGTGAGACACCCGAGGAACCACAGGAGAGAAGTGAGACACCCGAGGAACCACAGGAGAGAGGTGAGACACCCGAGGAACCACAGGAGAGAAGTGAGACAACTGAGGAACCACAGGAGAGAAATGAGACACCTGAGGAACCACAGGAGAGAGGTGAGACAACTGAGGAACCACAGGAGAGAAGTGAGACACCTGAGGAACCACAGGAGAGAAGTGAGACAACTGAGGAACCACAGGAGAGAGATGAGACACCTGAGGAACTACAGGAGAGAAGTGAGACACCTGAGGAACCACAGGAGAGAAGTGAGACACCTGAGGAACCACAGGAGAGAGGTGAGACACCTGAGGAACCACAGGAGATAAGTGAGACACCTGAGGAACCACAGGAGAGAGGTGAGACACCTGAGGAACCACAGGAGAGAAGTGAGACACCTGAGGAACCACAGGAGAGAGGTGAGACACCTGAGGAACCACAGGAGATAAGTGAGACACCTGAGGAACCACAGGAGAGAGGTGAGACACCTGAGGAACCACAGGAGAGAAGTGAGACACCCGAGGAACCACAGGAGAGAGGTGAGACACCCGAGGAACCACAGGAGAGAGGTGAGACACCCGAGGAACCACAGGAGAGAAGTGAGACACCCGAGGAACCACAAGAGAGAGGTGAGACACCCGAGGAACCACAGGAGAGAAGTGAGACACCCGAGGAACCACAGGAGAGAAGTGAGACACCCGAGGAACCACAGGAGAGAAGTGAGACACCCGAGGAACCACAGGAGAGAGGTGAGACACCCGAGGAACCACAGGAGAGAAGTGAGACACCCGAGGAACCACAGGAGAGAGGTGAGACACCCGAGGAACCACAGGAGAGAGGTGAGACACCCGAGGAACCACAAGAGAGAGGTGAGACACCCGAGGAACCACAGGAGAGAAGTGAGACACCCGAGGAACCACAGGAGAGAAGTGAGACACCCGAGGAACCACAGGAGAGAGGTGAGACACCCGAGGAACCACAGGAGAGAGGTGAGACACCCGAGGAACCACAGGAGAGAAGTGAGACACCCGAGGAACCACAGGAGAGAAGTGAGACACCCGAGGAACCACAAGAGAGAAGTGAGACACCCGAGGAACCACAAGAGAGAAGTGAGACACCTGAGGAACCACAGGAGAGAGGTGAGACACCCGAGGAACCACAGGAGAGAAGTGAGACAACTGAGGAACCACAGGAGAGACGTGAGACACCTGAGGAACCACAGGAGAGAGGTGAGACACCTGAGGAACCACAGGAGAGAGGTAAGACACCTGAGGAACCACAGGAGAGAAGTAAGACACCTGAGGAACCACAGGAGAGAAGTGAGACACCTGAGGAACCACAGGAGAGAGGTGAGACACCTGAGGAACCACAGGAGAGAGGTGAGACACCTGAGGAACCACAGGAGAGAAGTGAGACACCTGAGCAACCACAGGAGAGAGGTGAGACACCTGAGGAACCACAGGAGAGAAGTGAGACACCCGAGGAACCACAGGAGAGAGGTGAGACACCCGAGGAACCACAGGAGAGAGGTGAGACACCCGAGGAACCACAGGAGAGAAGTGAGACACCTGAGGAACCACAGGAGAGAGGTGAGACACCTGAGGAACCACAGGAGAGAAGTGAGACACCTGAGGAACCACAGGAGAGAGGTGAGACACCTGAGGAACCACAGGAGAGAGGTGAGACACCTGAGGAACCACAGGAGAGAAGTGAGACACCTGAGGAACCACAGGAGAGAGGTGAGACACCTGAGGAACCACAGGAGAGAAGTGAGACACCCGAGGAACCACAGGAGAGAAGTGAGACACCCGAGGAACCACAGGAGGGAGGTGAGACACCCGAGGAACCACAGGAGAGAAGTGAGACACCCGAGGAACCACAGGAGAGAGGTGAGACACCTGAGGAACCACAGGAGAGAGGTGAGACACCTGAGGAACCACAGGAGAGAAGTGAGACACCTGAGGAACCACAGGAGAGAGGTGAGACACCTGAGGAACCACAGGAGAGAGGTGAGACACCCGAGGAACCACAGGAGAGAAGTGAGACACCCGAGGAACCACAGGAGAGAGGTGAGACACCCGAGGAACCACAGGAGAGAAGTGAGACACCCGAGGAACCACAGGAGAGAAGTGAGACACCCGAGGAACCACAGGAGGGAGGTGAGACACCTGAGGAACCACAGGAGAGAAGTGAGACATCCGAGGAACCACAGGAGAGAAGTGAGACACCTGAGGAACCACAGGAGAGAAGTGAGACACCTGAGGAACCACAGGAGAGAGGTGAGACACCTGAGGAACCACAGGAGAGAAGTGAGACAACAGCAGGTTCTCTAACATAATCCATTATAGCGTAATAACTAGGGATGCACCGAATATTCGGCCACCGAAAATTATCAGCCGAAAATGGTTAAAAAGGCCCTTTCGGCTTTCGGCCGAAAAAAAATATCACCGAATGTCAGAATAGGCTTACGTTGGTAACCTAACGTGTTGTTGTGATGACGTAATAAAGACGCTGCGACCATGCTCGCGGCTGGCTCACAGGGGGGGGGGGGGGGGGAACATTGACCTTTGTCATCGAGATTGCCCTGAGCCTTTAACAAATCGTATTAAATAATCTGATGACAGACTGTAAACAGAATAGCTGACATTTTAACAAACTAAATAACTCAGTTTCCTCTAATCATTAACCCATGTTTGTATAATGTAGTTAACTCCGTGTGTTGCTGCTAGCATACATAACACCTGACGGGGAAACGTTACTCGTGGATGGGGCTACAGAGCTGCTAGAAAGACGGTGGAACCCGGTACATTCCTCCGTCTGCATGCGGTGCACTTTTGCTAAATGTTTAGACAAATTGCTCGTGCTTACATGCTAAACTCTTATTGCACTTATGGTAACAAGTATTCTCCACATCGAGACGGGTAAAGTTGAACCACACCTCGGAGCGCGTTCTCTCCGCCATCTCCGCAGTGTGCTCCGCTGCATGTAGCAGCTGCGTGTGTGTAAACTGCCCCGCCACCTCGCACACAGACGCGGGAGAGAGATCTCGTCTGATCGAAAATACATCATAGACGCATTTGTTGTCTTTGCATATTAGAAACGAGTTGGCGACACTAAGACTGCGATATAATGTTTTTTAGCAATAATACATGACATATATAAATGTACTGTATGCATTCAAAAGTGCTGAATAAATGTTTTATGGACCCATAATAGTGATTATTATTTAAGTTAAGTTTTGCCATAATCATGTCTATTTCCATAATCAGGTAGCTGAACAACATTGGTAAAAAATGTATACATTATATATATATATATTTCTATTAATCATTTTCGGCCTTTCGGCATTCGGTTTTCGACCAACTGTTTCCTATTTTCGGTATCGGTTTCGGCCAAGAATTTCCCATTCGGTGCACCCCTAGTAATAACGTTGCTTCTTGATTTTCCGTCCGTGGCTGGACAATAACGGTTTTTTTTCTGTCAGAAATATCAAATCCAGCTTTCCAGGAATCCCCGTTGAGGGACATTGAACGAGAGTGGGCGGTGTTCAAAGCCTCTATTGCTGAAGCCGGGGAGCTGTGGTCTCTCAATGTCTCAGGTGCCTCAAGGTAACCCTCGAACCTCCTGGAGGACCCCGGTGGTCAGGGGAGCCGTCCGCTGACGAAGGAGGCCTTCTGAAATATGTTATCCCGGGGGAGACATGGCCGAGGCAAAGCAGCAAGTGGGAGAAGTTCAGAGGAGCCATGGAGAAGGACCTTCGGTCGGCACCAAAGTTGTTCTGGAAAACCGTCCGACACCAAAGGAGGGGGGAGCAGGGGACCATGCAGGGTTGTTGGTTGTTCCTAGAGTCTCTAAAAGTACAATGGGAGCCAGAGCCTTTTCTTATCAAGCTCCACATTTGTGGAATCAGCTTCCAGTTTGTGTTCGGGCGGCAGACACCCTATCCGTTTTTAAGAGTGCGCTTAAGACCTTCCTTTTTGATAAAGCTTATAGTGATAAAATAAAATAATCTAATAAGAGTGCATTGACGTAGACACGTTGTGCCTCTTCACCTATACATGTTAGTTCTTACTCTTTCACTTAAATCCTAAAAACTTAGATCTTATATTTAAAACGTTATCCAAAGCTTTCCCCTCTCTGACCTCTCGAGGTTCTATTAGAGGGTAACAGGTTGCAGAGAGGCCTAGCCCGGCCGGGGAGTGTGGAACGTAGCCACAGACCCACTCCTTACCTCTAACCAATGCAGGTTCCAATGGGGACCTCTCTCCCTGCGTGCCTCTCCACCTCTGTGTCCTACTTCTTACTTGCTACCCTTTCCCTCAACCTATCCTAAGGGAGTGCATGTATGTAGACACGTTAGTTTAGCTGCTATAGGCTTGGACTGTTGAGGGAGGCACCTTACTCCGTCTTTCTGGCTGTCTGTACCTGTGTACTCTCATGTTCCGATTAACCCAGTTTCCCCCAAATCTCTTTTTTGTATCTATATCTACGCCGGGATCCGGAGTCGAAGCTGATCCTGTTGCTGTGGTCGTGTGTCCTGGATCCTCTATCCTGAGTTCTGGATCTGAGTCCTGGACTTCGAGTCGTGGCTGAACCTGTCTCTGCGGTCCTGCCAGACTCTCACCATACTACTTCCCTGAAGGCTTCCACAGGATTGCTGACATCCTCGTGGATTCATCTTCTTATTATAGACACATGCATTTCCAAACATTTGGACTACCTATGTTGCAAATGTTTTATCTTTTCAATTTCCACACGGCATCTATTGCACGTCTGTCCGTCCTGGGAGAGGGATCCCTCCTCTGTTGCTCTCCCTGAGGTTTCTCCCATGTTCCCTTTAAACTGTGGGTTTTCTCTGGAAGTTTTTCCTTGTACGATGTGAGGGTCTAAGGACAGAGGGTCTAAGGACAGAGGGTCTAAGGACAGAGGGTCTGAGAACAGAGGGTCTAAGGACAGAGGGTGTCGTATTGTCATACTGATATTCTGTACACACTGTGAAGACCACTGAGACAAATGTAACATTTGTGATATTGGGCTATAAATAAACATTGATTGATTGATTGATTGATCCAAGCTGTGTACAGCACTCCAAGGTACTGGAAAGGAGGGTCCGGCCGATAGTGGAACCTCAGGTTGAGGAGGAACAATGCGGATTCCGTCCTGGTCGTGGAATGAGGGATCAGCTTCTTACTCTCGCAAGGATCCTGGAGGGGGCCTGGGAGTACGCCTATCCAGTTTTGTAGACTTGGAGAAGGCGTATGACCGAGTTCCCAGGGAGTTACGGTGGGAGGTGCTGCGGGAGTATGGGGGGAGGGGGTCTCTACTCAGGGCCATCCAATCGCTGTGTCCGGGTCCTCGGCAGTAAGTCGGACCCATTCCCGGTGAGGGTTGGCCTCCGCCAGGACTGCGCTTTGTCACCAATCCTGTTTGTAATATACATGGGTCGGATTTCGAGGCGTCGTCATGGGGGAGGGGGTCTGCAGTTCGGTGGACTAAGGATTGCTTTTTGCAGATGATGTGGTTCTAATGGCTTCATCGGTCTGCGACCTTCAGCACTCACTGGATCGGTTCGCAACCGAGTGTGAAGCGGCTGGTATGAGGATCAGCACCTCCAAATCTGAGGCCATGGTTCTCAGCAGGAAACCGATGGACTGTCCACTCCAGGTAGGGAATGAGTCCTTACCCCAAGTGAAGGAGTTCAAGTATCTCGGGGTCTTGTTCTCGAGTGAGGGAACAGTGGAGTGTGAGATGGGCCGGAGAATCGGAGCAGCGATCGCTTTACTGCAGTCGCTTTACCGCACTGTTGTGACGAAAGAGAGAGAGAGAGAGAGAGAGAGAGAGAGAGAGAGAGATAGAGAGAGAGAGAGAGAGAGCAGGATGGACAAGAGACACCAAACACAGTCTGGTCTCACCATGCTGACAGAGGATCACTGAACACAGTGTTAAGATGATCTTATCATATCTCACCTGGCAGGTGTGCGGCTTCTCGCCTGTGTGCACGATGCTGTGCGTATTCAGCTGCGTCTGCCTGTTGAAGGTTTTCCCACAGACGCTGCAGCTGAAGGGTTTCTCTCTGCTGTGGATCAGCTGCTGGGACTTCAGGCTCCTCTGAGACAGTCCCTCCTCACTGTGGATCAGCTGCTGGGACTTCAGGCTCCTCTGAGACAGTCCCTCCTCACTGTGGATCAGCTGCTGGGACTTCAGGCTCCTCTGAGACAGTCCCTCCTCACTGTGGATCAGCTGCTGGGACTTCAGGCTCCTCTGAGACAGTCCCTCCTCACTGTGGATCAGCTGCTGGGACTTCAGGCTCCTCTGAGACAGTCCCTCCTCACTGTGGATCAGCTGCTGGGACTTCAGGCTCCTCTGAGACAGTCCCTCCTCACTGTGGATCAGCTGCTGGGACTTCAGGCTCCTCTGAGACAGTCCCTCCTCACTGTGGATCAGCTGCTGGGACTTCAGGCTCCTCTGAGACAGTCCCTCCTCACTGTGGATCAGCTGCTGGGACTTCAGGCTCCTCTGAGACAGTCCCTCCTCACTGTGGATCAGCTGCTGGGACTTCAGGCTGCTCTGAGACAGTCCCTCCTCACTGTGGATCAGCTGCTGGGACTTCAGGCTCCTCTGAGACAGTCCCTCCTCACTGTGGATCAGCTGCTGGGACTTCAGGCTCCTCTGAGACAGTCCCTCCTCACTGTGGATCAGCTGCTGGGACTTCAGGCTCCTCTGAGACAGTCCCTCCTCACTGTGGATCAGCTGCTGGGACTTCAGGCTCCTCTGAGACAGTCCCTCCTCACTGTGGATTAGCTGCTGGGACTTCAGGCTCCTCTGAGAAAGTCCCTCCTCACTGTGGATCAGCTGCTGGGACTTCAGGCTCCTCTGAGACAGTCCCTCCTCACTGTGGATCAGCTGCTGGGACTTCAGGCTGCTCTGAGACAGTCCCTCCTCACTGTGGATCAGCTGCTGGGACTTCAGGCTGCTCTGAGACAGTCCCTCCTCACTGTGGATTAGCTGCTGGGACTTCAGGCTCCTCTGAGAAAGTCCCTCCTCACTGTGGATCAGCTGCTGGGACTTCAGGCTCCTCTGAGACAGTCCCTCCTCACTGTGGATCAGCTGCTGGGACTTCAGGCTGCTCTGAGACAGTCCCTCCTCACTGTGGATCAGCTGCTGGGACTTCAGGCTCCTCTGAGACAGTCCCTCCTCACTGTGGATCAGCTGCTGAGCTCCTGCAGGAAACAGCACACATTCACTATATAGACTAAAGTATTGGGCCACTACACATGAAACTGCAGGAGCTTTTATGCCCGCATTATTCTGAAGTCTGTCCTCTTTGCAGCTCTAACAGCTTCCTCTCTTCTGGGACGCCCATTCATCTAAGAATTGGCTTTTTTCTCAGATTTTTGACTTTTTTTCTAAAGATTCTGATTTTATTTCAGAATGTATTTTCTTGTAAGAATTGACTTTTTCCCTTTTTTTTCTAACATTGGCTTTTTTTCACAGACTTTTTACTTTTTTTTATGTTTCTAATAATTAAAAATTGTCTCCTACATTTTTAACAGAACATTTTTTTTTCCGGATTTCGATTTTTTTCAATGTTTTTTCAATTTGTGCTTTTTTCTCATAATGTTTCCTTTCTCTCTCAGACTGATGTTGGGCGAGAGGCTCTCGTTCATCCCAAAGGAGTTCAGGGAGACTCATGCTGGAACAGAAGGTTCTTCAGAGCGTTGAGATGAAGACGGACTCCTCATTTCATCCAGAGAGTACCAGCTGCTGCTGTAATGAATATAAACATGAGTTTTCTCACTCTCAGCGATGACCTCCAGCTCCACGACGCCTCGATCGTCTTTCAGCATCAGCGCAGGAACAAACGGACCCTGAGACTGGCCCTCAAACGCCTCCTGCTGCTTCTGCACACACAGGGTCAGTGAACGCACCATGAGCAGAGAGTCAGGGGTCAGTGAACGCACCATTAACAGACAGTCAGGGGTCAGTGAACGCACCATTAACAGAAACTCAGGGGTCAGTGAACGCACCATTAACAGACAGTGAGGGGTCAGTGAACGCACCATTAACAGAAACTCAGGGGTCAGTGAACGCACCATTAACAGACAGTCAGGGGTCAGTGAACGCACCATTAACAGAAACTCAGGGGTCAGTGAACGCACCATTAACAGACAGTCAGGGGTCAGTGAACGCACCATTAACAGAAACTCAAGGGTCAGTGAACGAACCATTAACAGAGTCAGAGGTCAGTGAACACACCACTAGCAGTCAGAGGTCATTGAACGCACCACCACCAGCAGTCAGAGGTCAGTGAACGCACCACCAGCAGCAGTCAGAGGTCAGTGAACGCACCACCAGCAGCAGTCAGAGGTCAGTGAACACACCACTAGCAGTCAGAGGTCATTGAACGCACCACCACCAGCAGTCAGGTCAGTGAACGCACCACCAGCAGCAGTCAGAGGTCAGTGAAGGCACCACCAGCAGCAGTCAGAGGTCAGTGAACGCACCACCAGCAGCAGTCAGAGGTCAGTGAAGGCACCACCAGCAGCAGTAAGAGGTCAGTGAAGGCACCACCAGCAGTCAGAGGTCAGAGGTCAGTGAAGGCACCACCAGCAGCAGTCAGAGGTCAGTGAACGCACCACCAGCAGCAGTCAGAGGTCAGTGAACGCACCACCATCAGTCAGAGGTCAGTGAACGCACCACCAGCAGCAGTCAGAGGTCAGTGAAGGCACCACCAGCAGCAGTCAGAGGTCAGTGAACGCACCACCAGCAGCAGTCAGAGGTCAGTGAACGCACCACCAGCAGCAGTCAGAGGTCAGTGAACGCACCACCAGCAGCAGTCAGAGGTCAGTGAACGCACCACCAGCAGCAGTCAGAGGTCAGTGAACGCACCACCAGCAGCAGTCAGAGGTCAGTGAAGGCACCACTAGCAGCAGTCAGAGGTCAGTGAAGACACCACCAGCAGTCAGAGGTCAGTGAAGGCACCACCAGCAGTCAGAGGTCAGTGAAGGCACCACCAGCAGCAGTCAGAGGTCAGTGAAGACACCACCAGCAGTCAGAGGTCAGTGAAGGCACCACCAGCAGCAGTCAGAGGTCAGTGAAGGCACCACCAGCAGTCAGAGGTCAGTGAAGGCACCACCAGCAGCAGTCAGAGGTCAGTGAAGGCACCACCAGCAGTCAGAGGTCAGTGAACGCACCACCAGCAGCAGTCAGAGGTCAGTGAAGACACCACCAGCAGCAGTCAGAAGTCATTGAAGGCACCACCAGCAGCAGTCAGAGGTCAGTGAAGGCACCACCAGCAGTCTGAGGTCAGTGAAGACACCACCAGCAGTCAGAGGTCAGTGAAGGCACCACCAGCAGCAGTCAGAGGTCAGTGAAGGCACCACCAGCAGTCAGAGGTCAGTGAACGCACCACCAGCAGCAGTCAGAGGTCAGTGAAGACACCACCAGCAGCAGTCAGAGGTCAGTGAAGGCACCACCAGCAGCAGTCAGAGGTCAGTGAAGGCACCACCAGCAGTCAGAGGTCAGTGAACGCACCACCAGCAGCAGTCAGAGGTCAGTGAAGGCACCACCAGCAGCAGTCAGAGGTCAGTGAACGCACCACCAGCAGCAGTCAGAGGTCAGTGAACACACCACTAGCAGTCAGAGGTCATTGAACGCACCACCACCAGCAGTCAGAGGTCAGTGAACGCACCACCAGCAGCAGTCAGAGGTCAGTGAAGGCACCACCAGCAGCAGTCAGAGGTCAGTGAACGCACCACCAGCAGCAGTCAGAGGTCAGTGAAGGCACCACCAGCAGCAGTAAGAGGTCAGTGAAGGCACCACCAGCAGTCAGAGGTCAGAGGTCAGTGAAGGCACCACCATCAGTCAGAGGTCAGTGAACGCACCACCAGCAGCAGTCAGAGGTCAGTGAAGGCACCACCAGCAGCAGTCAGAGGTCAGTGAAGGCACCACCATCAGCAGTCAGAGGTCAGTGAAGGCACCACCAGCAGCAGTCAGAGGTCAGTGAACGCACCACCAGCAGCAGTCAGAGGTCAGTGAACGCACCACCAGCAGCAGTCAGAGGTCAGTGAACGCACCACCAGCAGCAGTCAGAGGTCAGTGAACGCACCACCAGCAGCAGTCAGAGGTCAGTGAACGCACCACCAGCAGCAGTCAGAGGTCAGTGAAGGCACCACTAGCAGCAGTCAGAGGTCAGTGAAGACACCACCAGCAGTCAGAGGTCAGTGAAGGCACCACCAGCAGTCAGAGGTCAGTGAAGGCACCACCAGCAGCAGTCAGAGGTCAGTGAAGACACCACCAGCAGTCAGAGGTCAGTGAAGGCACCACCAGCAGCAGTCAGAGGTCAGTGAAGGCACCACCAGCAGTCAGAGGTCAGTGAAGGCACCACCAGCAGCAGTCAGAGGTCAGTGAAGGCACCACCAGCAGTCAGAGGTCAGTGAACGCACCACCAGCAGCAGTCAGAGGTCAGTGAAGGACACCACCAGCAGCAGTCAGAAGTCATTGAAGGCACCACCAGCAGCAGTCAGAGGTCAGTGAAGGCACCACCAGCAGTCTGAGGTCAGTGAAGACACCACCAGCAGTCAGAGGTCAGTGAAGGCACCACCAGCAGCAGTCAGAGGTCAGTGAAGGCACCACCAGCAGTCAGAGGTCAGTGAACGCACCACCAGCAGCAGTCAGAGGTCAGTGAAGACACCACCAGCAGCAGTCAGAGGTCAGTGAAGGCACCACCAGCAGCAGTCAGAGGTCAGTGAAGGCACCACCAGCAGTCAGAGGTCAGTGAACGCACCACCAGCAGCAGTCAGAGGTCAGTGAAGGCACCACCAGCAGCAGTCAGAGGTCAGTGAAGACACCACCAGCAGTCAGAGGTCAGTGAAGGCACCACCAGCAGTCAGAGGTCAGTGAAGGCACCACCAGCAGTCAGAGGTCAGTGAACGCACCACCAGCAGCAGTCAGAGGTCAGTGAAGGCACCACCAGCAGTCAGAGGTCAGTGAAGGCACCACTACCAGCAGTCAGAGGTCAGTGAACGCACCACCAGCAGCAGTCAGAGGTCAGTGAAGACACCACCAGCAGTCAGAGGTCAGTGAAGGCACCACCAGCAGTCAGAGGTCAGTGAAGGCACCACCACCAGCAGTCAGAGGTCAGTGAAGGCACCACCAGCAGTCAGAGGTCAGTGAAGGCACCACCAGCAGCAGTCAGAGGTCAGTGAAGGCACCTACCAGCAGTCAGAGGTCAGTAAAGGCACCACCAGCAGTCAGAGGTCAGTGAACGCACCACCAGCAGCAGTCAGAGGTCAGTGAAGGCACCTACCAGCAGTCAGAGGTCAGTAAAGGCACCACCAGCAGTCAGAGGTCAGTGAAGGCACCACCACCAGCAGTCAGAGGTCAGTGAAGGCACCTACCAGCAGTCAGAGGTCAGTAAAGGCACCACCAGCAGTCAGAGGTCAGTGAACGCACCACCAGCAGCAGTCAGAGGTCAGTGAAGGCACCACCAGCAGCAGTCAGAGGTCAGTAAAGGCACCACCAGCAGTCAGAGGTCAGTGAACGCACCACCACCAGCAGTCAGAGGTCAGTGAACGCACCACCAGCAGCAGTCAGAGGTCAGTGAAGGCACCACCAGCAGTCAGAGGTCAGTGAACGCACCACCAGCAGCAGTCAGAGGTCAGTGAAGGCACCACCAGCAGCAGTCAGAGGTCAGTGAACGCACCACCAGCAGCAGTCAGAGGTCAGTGAAGGCACCACCAGCAGTCAGAGGTCAGTGAAGGCACCACCAGCAGTCAGAGGTCAGTGAAGGCACCACCAGCAGTCAGAGGTCAGTGAAGGCACCACCAGCAGTCAGAGGTCAGTGAAGGCACCACCAGCAGTCAGAGGTCAGTGAAGGCACCACCAGCAGTCAGAGGTCAAGGAAGGCACCACCAGCAGTCAGAGGTCAGTGAACGCACCACCAGCAGTCAGAGGTCAGTGAAGGCACCACCAGCAGTCAGAGGTCAGTGAAGGCACCACCAGCAGTCAGAGGTCAGTGAAGGCACCACCAGCAGTCAGAGGTCAGTGAAGGCACCACCAGCAGTCAGAGGTCAAGGAAGGCACCACCAGCAGTCAGAGGTCAGTGAAGGCACCACCAGCAGTCAGAGGTCAGTGAAGGCACCACCAGCAGTCAGAGGTCAGTGAAGGCACCACGGTCTCACCTGAGTGTTGAAGTCGTTGCTCTGCAGTCGGACTCCGTACGAGTGTTCGTTCTCTGAGAGGAAACTCCAGTTATTATTCAATACAATACAGCTTTATTTATAAAGCACTTTAAAACCTCCAGACCAAAGTGCTGTAGAGACAGACAAACAAACGACACTTTAAAAGCAATAAAGCAGCGATCTACAAGATGTCAGAACGCTAAAGAGAAGACTACTAGATAACCAGAGAACTCAGACTCCCAGCATGCACCTGGAGAACATTATGACATCATGATTATGTTTGATAGAGGGGGGGTACGTACCCACGTGGTTCAGGATGTGGATGAAGCTGGTCTCAGATCTGTTCTCCTCTCCTTGAAGCTCCGCCTCCTCCACGATGTTCAGGATCTTCCCCAAAGCCTCGTTCCCCAGGGTCTCCATCAGAGAGGCAAACTGCACCTGGGGGTCAGAGGTCAAGGTTAGGGTCTCCATCAGAGAGGCAAACTGCACCTGGGGGTCAGAGGTCAAGGTTAGGGTCTCCATCAGAGAGGCAAACTGCACCTGGGGGTCAGAGGTCAAGGTTAGGGTCTCCATCAGAGAGGCAAACTGCACCTGGGGGTCAGAGGTCAAGGTTAGGGTCTCCATCAGAGAGGCAAACTGCACCTGGGGGTCAGAGGTCAAGGTTAGGGTCTCCATCAGAGAGGCAAACTGCACCTGGGGGTCAGAGGTCAAGGTTAGGGTCTCCAGACTCACTGAGGGTCCCTGAGAGGGTCCAACAGCATCCTCTGTGCTCCAGCCTGAAGCATCCTCTGTGCTCCAGCCTGAAGCATCCTCTGTGCTCCAGCCTGAAGCATCCTCTGTGCTCCAGCCTGAAGCATCCTCTGTGCTCCAGTCAGCCTGAAGCATCCTCTGTGCTCCAGTCAGCCTGAAGCATCCTCTGTGCTCCAGTCAGTCTGAAGCATCCTCTGTGCTCCAGTCAGCCTGAAGCATCCTCTGTGCTCCAGTCAGCCTGAAGCATCCTCTGTGCTCCAGTCAGCCTGAAGCATCCTCTGTGCTCCAGACAGCCTGAAGCATCCTCTGTGCTCCAGCCAGCCTGAAGCATCCTCTGTGCTCCAGACAGCCTGAAGCATCCTCTGTGCTCCAACCTGAAGCATCCTCTGTGCTCCAGACAGCCTGAAGCATCCTCTGTGCTCCAGTCAGCCTGAAGCATCCTCTGTGCTCCAGCCAGCCTGAAGCATCCTCTGTGCTCCAGCCAGCCTGAAGCATCCTCTGTGCTCCAGCCAGCCTGAAGCATCCTCTGTGCTCCAGCCTGAAGCATCCTCTGTGCTCCAGTCAGCCTGAAGCATCCTCTGTGCTCCAGTCAGCCTGAAGCATCCTCTGTGCTCCAGTCAGCCTGAAGCATCCTCTGTGCTCCAGTCAGCCTGAAGCATCCTCTGTGCTCCAGTCAGCCTGAAGCATCCTCTGTGCTCCAGTCAGCCTGAAGCATCCTCTGTGCTCCAGTCAGCCTGAAGCATCCTCTGTGCTCCAGTCAGCCTGAAGCATCCTCTGTGCTCCAGACAGCCTGAAGCATCCTCTGTGCTCCAGTCAGCCTGAAGCATCCTCTGTGCTCCAGTCAGCCTGAAGCATCCTCTGTGCTCCAGACAGCCTGAAGCATCCTCTGTGCTCCAGACAGTCTGAAGCATCCTCTGTGCTCCAGACAGCCTGAAGCATCCTCTGTGCTCCAGACAGTCTGAAGCATCCTCTGTGCTCCAGCCTGAAGCATCCTCTGTGCTCCAGCCTGAAGCATCCTCTGTGCTCCAGCCAGCCTGAAGCATCCTCTGTGCTCCAGCCAGCCTGAAGCATCCTCTGTGCTCCAGACAGTCTGAAGCATCCTCTGTGCTCCAGCCTGAAGCATCCTCTGTGCTCCAGCCTGAAGCATCCTCTGTGCTCCAGACAGCCTGAAGCATCCTCTGTGCTCCAGACAGCCTGAAGCATCCTCTGTGCTCCAGTCAGCCTGAAGCATCCTCTGTGCTCCAGACAGCCTGAAGCATCCTCTGTGCTCCAGCCAGCCTGAAGCATCCTCTGTGCTCCAGTCAGCCTGAAGCATCCTCTGTGCTCCAGACAGCCTGAAGTTGATGTTCCACATGGAGCTGCTGGGATGTAAGGTTCACAGCAGGCGCGCCGGATTCATTTTAGAAGTGGGGGGGGGCCAAAAAAGTGCGTGTGTTTGGCCCTAACCCTACACACTCCCCCACAGTGAACTCCGTGGAGTGACACACGAGGCTCCTCCTGTCAGAGGGAGTACACACAGCAGCAAGCTTTGGGACGGCCTCCTCTCTCCTCCTGTCAGAGGGAGTAAACACAGCAGCAGGCTTTGGGACGGCCTCCTCTCTCCTCCTGTCAGAGGGAGTAAACACGGCAGCAAGCTTTGGGACGGCCTCCTCTCTCCTCCTGTCAGAGGGAGTAAACACAGCAGCAGGCTTTGGGACGGCCTCCTCTCTCCTCCTGTCAGAGGGAGTAAACACAGCAGCAGGCTTTGGGACGGCCTCCTCTCTCCTCCTGTCAGAGGGAGTACACACAGCAGCAGGCTTTGGGACGGCCTCCTCTCTCCTCCTGTCAGAGGGAGTACACACAGCAGCAAGCTTTGGGACGGCCTCCTCTCTCCTCCTGTCAGAGGGAGTACACACGGCAGCAAGCTTTGGGACGGCCTCCTCTCTCCTCCTGTCAGAGGGAGTAAGTAAACACGGCAGCAAGCTTTGGGACGGCCTCCTCTCTCCTCCTGTCAGAGGGAGTAAACACGGCAGCAAGCTTTGGGACGGCCTCCTCTCTCCTCCTGTCAGAGGGAGTAAACACGGCAGCAAGCTTTGGGACGGCCTCCTCTCTCCTCCTGTCAGAGGGAGTAAACACGGCAGCCAGCTTTGGGACGGCCTCCTCTCTCCTCCTGTCAGAGGGAGTAACACGGCAGCAAGCTTTGGGACGGCCTCCTCTCTCCTCCTGTCAGAGGGGAGTAAACACGGCAGCAAGCTTTGGGACGGCCTCCTCTCTCGTCCTGTCAGAGGGAGTACACATGGCAGCAAGCTTTGGGACGGCCTCCCCTCTCTTCTCCTGTCAGAGGGAGTAAACACGGCAGCAAGCTTTGGGACGGCCTCCTCTCTCCTCCTGTCAGAGGGAGTACACACGGCAGCAAGCTTTGGGACGGCCTCCCCTCTCTTCTCCTGTCAGAGGGAGTAAACACGGCAGCAAGCTTTGGGACGGCCTCCTCTCTCCTCCTGTCAGAGGGAGTAAACACGGCAGCAAGCTTTGGGACGGCCTCCTCTCTCCTCCTGTCAGAGGGAGTACACACGGCAGCAGGCTTTGGGACGGCCTCCCCCCTCTCCTCCTGTCAGAGGGAGTACACACAGCAGCAAGCTTTGGGACGGCCTCCCCTCTCTCCTCCTGTCAGAGGGAGTAAACACGGCAGCAAGCTTTGGGACGGCCTCCTCTCTCCTCCTGTCAGAGGGAGTACACACGGCAGCAAGCTTTGGGACGGCCTCCTCTCTCCTCCTGTCAGAGGGAGTACACACAGCAGCAAGCTTTGGGACGGCCTCCCCCCTCTCCTCCTGTCAGAGGGAGTAAACACAGCAGCAGGCTTTGGGACGGCCTCCTCTCTCCTCCTGTCAGAGGGAGTACACACGGCAGCAGGCTTTGCGACGGCCTCCCCCCTCTCCTCCTGTCAGAGGGAGTACACACGGCAGCAAGCTTTGGGACGGCCTCCTCTCTCCTCCTGTCAGAGGGAGTACACACGGCAGCAAGCTGTGGGACGGCCCTCCTCTCTCCTCCTGTCAGAGGGAGTACACACGGCAGCAAGCTTTGGGACGGCCTCCCCCCTCTTCTCCTGTCAGAGGGAGTACACACGGCAGCAAGCTTTGGGACGGCCTCCTCTCTCCTCCTGTCAGAGGGAGTACACACGGCAGCAAGCTTTGGGACGGCCTCCCCTCTCTCCTCCTGTCAGAGGGAGTACACACGGCAGCAGGCTTTGGGACGGCCTCCCCCCTCTCCTCCTGTCAGAGGGAGTACACACGGCAGCAAGCTTTGGGACGGCCTCCTCTCTCCTCCTGTCAGAGGGAGTACACACGGCAGCAAGCTTTGGGACGGCCTCCTCTCTCCTCCTGTCAGAGGGAGTACACACGGCAGCAAGCTTTGGGACGGCCTCCCCCCTCTCCTCCTGTCAGAGGGAGTAAACACAGCAGCAGGCTTTGGGACGGCCTCCTCTCTCCTCCTGTCAGAGGGAGTACACACAGCAGCAAGCTTTGGGACGGCCTCCCCCCTCTCCTCCTGTCAGAGGGAGTACACATGGCAGCAGGCTTTGGGACGGCCTCCCCCCTCTCCTCCTGTCAGAGGGAGTAAACACAGCAGCAGGCTTTGGGACGGCCTCCCCTCTCTCCTCCTGTCAGAGGGAGTACACACGGCAGCAGGCTTTGGGACGGCCTCCCCTCTCTCCTCCTGTCAGAGGGAGTAAACACGGCAGCAGGCTTTGGGACGGCCTCCCCCCTCTCCTCCTGTCAGAGGGAGTAAACACGGCAGCAGGCTTTGGGACGGCCTCCCCTCTCTCCTCCTGTCAGAGGGAGTAAACACGGCAGCAGGCTTTGGGACGGCCTCCCCCCTCTCCTCCTGTCAGAGGGAGTAAACACGGCAGCAGGCTTTGGGACGGCCTCCCCTCTCTCCTCCTGTCAGAGGGAGTAAACACAGCAGCAAGCTTTGGGACGGCCTCCCCCCTCTCCTCCTGTCAGAGGGAGTAAACACAGCAGCAAGCTTTGGGACGGCCTCCTCTCTCCTCCTGTCAGAGGGAGTACACACGGCAGCAGGCTTTGGGACGGCCTCCCCCCTCTCCTCCTGTCAGAGGGAGTAAACACAGCAGCAGGCTTTGGGACGGCCTCCCCCCTCTCCTCCTGTCAGAGGGAGTAAACACAGCAGCAGGCTTTGGGACGGCCTCCTCTCTCCTCCTGTCAGAGGGAGTAAACACAGCAGCAGGCTTTGGGACGGCCTCCCCTCTCTCCTCCTGTCAGAGGGAGTAAACACGGCAGCAGGCTTTGGGACGGCCTCCTCTCTCCTCCTGTCAGAGGGAGTAAACACGGCAGCAGGCTTTGGGACGGCCTCCCCTCTCTCCTCCTGTCAGAGGGAGTAAACACGGCAGCAGGCTTTGGGACGGCCTCCCCCCTCTCCTCCTGTCAGAGGGAGTAAACACGGCAGCAGGCTTTGGGACGGCCCCCCCCCTCTCCTCCTGTCAGAGGGAGTAAACACAGCAGCAAGCTTTGGGACGGCCTCCCCCCTCTCCTCCTGTCAGAGGGAGTAAACACAGCAGCAAGCTTTGGGACGGCCTCCTCTCTCCTCCTGTCAGAGGGAGTACACACGGCAGCAGGCTTTGGGACGGCCTCCCCCCTCTCCTCCTGTCAGAGGGAGTAAACACAGCAGCAGGCTTTGGGACGGCCTCCCCCCTCTCCTCCTGTCAGAGGGAGTAAACACAGCAGCAGGCTTTGGGACGGCCTCCCCCCTCTCCTCCTGTCAGAGGGAGTAAACACAGCAGCAGGCTTTGGGACGGCCTCCCCCCTCTCCTCCTGTCAGAGGGAGTAAACACAGCAGCAAGCTTTGGGACGGCCTCCCCCCTCTCCTCCTGTCAGAGGGAGTAAACACAGCAGCAGGCTTTGGGACGGCCTCCTCTCTCCTCCTGTCAGAGGGAGTAAACACGGCAGCAGGCTTTGGGACGGCCTCCCCCCTCTCCTCCTGTCAGAGGGAGTATACACGGCAGCAGGCTTTGGGACGGCCTCCCCCCTCTCCTCCTGTCAGAGGGAGTAAACACAGCAGCAAGCTTTGGGACGGCCTCCCCCCTCTCCTCCTGTCAGAGGGAGTAAACACAGCAGCAGGCTTTGGGACGGCCCCCTCTCTCCTCCTGTCAGAGGGAGTAAACACGGCAGCAGGCTTTGGGACGGCCTCCCCCCTCTCCTCCTGTCAGAGGGAGTAAACACAGCAGCAGGCTTTGGGACGGCCTCCCCCCTCTCCTCCTGTCAGAGGGAATAAACACAGCAGCAGGCTTTGGGACGGCCTCCCCTCTCTCCTCCTGTCAGAGGGAGTAAACACAGCAGCAGGCTTTGGGACGGCCTCCTCTCTCCTCCTGTCAGAGGGAGTAAACACAGCAGCAGGCTTTGGGACGGCCTCCCCTCTCTCCGGCAGAAACAGGAAGTGCCGTAACTGTTTGTAACAACGGTTTCAAATCAGCTTCTCTTTGACAAAAAGTTTAAATGAATAACTCAAATAAACTCCAAACATCTTTCATTGTGTTTCAAAGCTCTTTTAGTTTTAAACCTGATGTTTAGAAGCTTCTTAGTTTTTGCAACAGTCTGTAAATATACACAACGTTATAATAAAATGCACACATTTACCTTTTTCTCGACTAAACGCAGGTTTGATCCTCAGTGAAATCATGAGGTTGCTCACATGCAGTCTATCAGCATCCTTCAGTGGGTCTGCAAAGAATGCACCGCTCTCTGTTCGTACCATTCTGCGCTTAGTCCCTTCTCTTTGCTCAAATGATCGAGCGCTCTCCTTTTTGTCGACAGTTAGCCATACAGCTTTACCGCCTCAATGTCCCGACAACAAACCTCCATGCAGGTTGTTTCGGTCCAACGACAGCCTCTGCGGCCGCAGAGCTGCTGCTTTTGGGTTCGTCTGCTTCGCTGCTTCACTGGTTGGAGAAGGTCCAGGCTCCGGAGGATGTCAGGGATGTGACCTTCCAGGCTCCGGAGGATGTCAGGGATGTGACCTTCCAGGCTCCGGAGGATGTCAGGGATGTGACCTTCCAGGCTCCGGAGGATGTCAGGGATGTGACCTTCCAGTTGTTACATTTAAGTTTAGATTGGCTCCATTTAGTTTTCTTCTGCGCTGGTTCTTCTGACATGTTTGCAACAGGGTTTCCGCTAGGATTTTTTCTCGCCGGTCAAATGTCCGGACAGAATTTATTTTACCGGACAAATTTGAAACTTACCGGTCATGTTTCAATAATAAGAATAAGAATTGTGTTGCAGAGTTTCTGTTAGCAGGTAATTACCGGACTATGACCGGATATGCTGGTGTTTAAAACTCAGTTAATGGGAGTCATTTTTATATTGCTTCAGTTTATAATCGTAACAGATCGAAAAATTCAGATTCATTTTTCAGTAAATGATTCCATCAACATCATTATTACATTCAAACAAACTACTTGTAGTAGATAACGTACATTATTCAAAAGTTTACATTAACTTTGAATAATAACACGGGAGAAACGGATCCTCTCTTTTCCCCTCTCCCTCCCGACAGCCCGTCAGTTTCTCATGCAGCTAAACAGTGGGCGGGGCTTCAGGTGATTATGCAGCAGCTGATCTGATTTCTCTCTCACGTCCGGTTACACTTCACTCGTGTTTATGTCCATATCGATCAGATGCAGCTCTCCTGATCGGCCTCTATAGAGAGCACCGATCAAACTATTAAGAGTGAATATCGGCCGATAATGATCGGCGGCTGATCGATTGGAGCATCCCTAATTATCAGCGGACATTTTGACCGGCAGGTTTTGAATTTACCGGTTTTTATTACATTTTAACAGCTAAAAACCGGTAATTACCGGCTAACGGAAACCCTGGTTTGCAAGTGTATATATTCTTCCTATCTGGTTAACGGCTGACACACACAGAACAACGTAACAAATAAACAAATTAAGCTTCGTTATTGGTTGTAATGAACATGGATACATTTGAATGGCGTGACAATGTCCTATTGATTGGGTTAAAATTTACATTTTCTTCCTGTTATGTCTGCCTGCTGTATTTTACCTAATGCAAAGTGACCTGCTCCATCGAAGTCAGTCGCATTGATCCGAAGACACATTTTGAGTTATACACTGTTGGAAAGAGGATATTCATAGCTTTCTAATGATATCAGGATTGTTTTTGTTCTCCAAATATTAAGCGAAATACGTCACATTATATAATGACTGTCACCGAGTCATCATTTTGAGAAAAAGGCCTTCAAAGTTTGCTCTCTGGAATACATCGATCTGATTGGTTATTAGCAAATGATCAAAATACTACGGAGGGAAGATATTTTCGTTTGGATTACTGGTCTGGGGGAAGCTCGCGAGTGTGTGTGTGTGTGTGTGTATATATGTGTGTGTATACGTGTGTGTGTTTGTGTATTTTTGCGTTTGTGTGTATTGTGTTTGTTTCCCAACAGGAGAAACACCGGCTGTGTATGCTTGCTGTGACGTCAAGTTACTCCGTTCTCCGCTTGTAATTATGCCGAAGCTTCAAAGTTGTATTTATCATCTGAACAAGTTTAATATTCTGAAAGCCAAGACTTTGTTTAATTGAAATCAGATCAAAACAAACTGTAACGGACCCTGCCGTGTGATCTATGATTACTATACGACTGTGGCTGCGAGGTAGTATGGTCGTCTTTCAACCAGAAGGTTGTGGGTTCGATCCCAGCCCATGCAGTCAACATGTCGATGTATCCTTGGGTAAGATACTTAACCCTGAGTTGCTCCCGATGGCATGGCCAACGGTGTGTGAATGTGTATGCATGTTAGTGCATGTCCTAACATACACTGCTCTGTATGAATGGGTGAACGACATGTAGTATGTAAAGCGCTTTGAGGGGTCTTAAAGACTGGATAAAGCGCTATATAAGTACAGTCCATTTACCATTTATACTCTTACATTCATAATGTCAGCCGGAGGGAGGGGAAGCGGCGCTGAGGAACAGAGTGGCGAGTGAGAGGCGAGCTGTCATCTTCCCTTTACAAGCTTCAAAAATGCCTGTAGCTATTGAGATTTAATATAACAATCAAAAATAACAACATATAAACAGCTAGATCAGATCGCGTTTTAGATGCGACTTTAGAGTAGAGGGGAATTATTGAAACGGGATGTGTACAGTGTTCCGCGGCATCTGCCGCTGCGAACATGTGGGGCAGGGCGGGGCCCCCCACGGGGCCCCCCGCTTCCGGCGCCCTTGGTTCACAGACAGTTTCACTATGAAACAGCTTTAAGCAGCTTTGAAAGTTCTTCTAATGAACCGTCTCTCTCACCGTGAGCTCAGCGGCTCAGAGGAGAGATGGAGAGGAAACACTGCAGGCTCCTCCAACAGAGCAACATGAATATATAGGAAATAAAATACATAGAACAGATCAAATAGTGCAAGAGAATGTTTTGAGATGTGCAAGAAAATACAAATACAATAGAAATAGTGCAAAAAGAGTAAATGAAATATGATATTTAGATAAATGATTTGCAATCAGATGTCATGGACGCTCTTCACAGAGTTCAGGTGTTTAACAGTCTGATTTCCTGTAGAATGAAATGTAATAATATTATATATATTATGACTACATCTTAAAGTTTTCTGGTTTTCAAAAGGAGCATAAAATATAAAACAATCTGAAAGTGTGTTTCTGCAGTATTATCAGACCCGGGTCCTCCTCACCATTTTCTCCCGGCTCTGGTTCCTGGCTGAGTCCGGGTCTGGAGCCTCCTGCCCGGCATGGAGCTCCAGGCGGATCAGCAGTTCTGGTCCACCCGAAACCAGCTTCTGTAGGCCGGCCACCGCGGAGAGAACCACAGCCTCCATCACCGCGGAGAGCTGCGAGTAGAGTCCGGGGGAGAAGCTCATTCTGCCGCGGAGAGCTGCGAGTAGAGGCCGGGGGAGAAGCTCATTCTGCCGGGGAGAGAGAGGCTGCTGCCGCTGGAGCTCCGGAGGTAGCCGAGGAGCTAACTGAGGCTAACTGGAGCTAACTGAGGCTAACTGAGCACGTTGTTGTTATTACCATGCACTCATAAAAGTGACTCTTATTTTTTTACATTATAATAAAATAAAGAGAAACTTAATGAGAAAATAAATCCGACCTTTGAGCAGAACAACAAACTGGAAGTGATTCTGACGTCACTTCAGGGTTCTTCTTCTGCTCACAGTTTAAAGCAGTATCGCCCCCTGTCGGTCTCAGAGGGGATCACACACACACGCGCACACACGAACACACACGCACACACACACACGCACACCTCCGATCACTTTCCAAAACATATCACAATAACAACAAACAAACAAATAAATAAATGACATCTTGAAATGCAACCCTAACCCCAAAAGGCTTCAACATGTCTGCGTGTTTTAAACTCTTCCTAAACAAGTGATAAAAAATACATTTTTATATTAAACTTAATAGAATAAATGCAAAAACAAATACTATACCCATTGTGACAGACAAGAATAGTCAATTCTGAGAGATAGATGTATCCTGCTGTATGCAGGCCCGCCTTAACCTGCCATCAGGCCCTGGGGCTGATAGGTTTTGTAGGCCCCCTATTTAAACAACAAATCAAAGTCATTTATAGCCTCGGCAGGCTCTGTGATCGCACTTCTCCACTCTGCTCTGCGCGCCTGGTCCTCTCCTCCAGATGAGTGACGTATCGGGCCTCCCTCATGTATTTGTCCGGTTGCCGTTGGCTCCCCTCCACGTAGCAAGTCCTCGTCATCCTCTCCATCTCCTCCATCATCCCTCCTGTCTGTTTTTCCTCTCCCGCTATCAGAACCAGACGGCCTACTTGGCTCAGAGGCTCCGCGGCCGGCACCGCTGCCGCTCGGTACAGAACTCATCTGTCCTTCCTCCTCATCCTGGCCTGCAGGTTTAAAATAACCTGTAAGCTTCGGCATGTTTTGTAATAGCTGCTTGTCTCGAAACTCCTTTTCCCTCAACAATTTCCTTTTCCGAGCGCCACTCTCAAACTTTTTCTTCTCAAACTTTTTCTCCTAAACAACCTTCATCCGTCACTCAATCACTCGCAATTTGAATAAGTCACATGTGAAACATATTCTCATTCTGATTGGCTGTTAAGTGGTACTGACTGTTTCGGAGTCATCTCTGGAATCCATCGATCTGATTGATTAGTGGAGCAAATGATCAAAATACTACGGAGGGAAGATATTTTCGTTTGGATTAGTGGTCTGGGGGAAGCTCACGTGTGTGTGTGTGTATTTTTGCGTTTGTGTGTATTCTGTTTGTTTCCCGAGGAAAACCCTCACGAGAAACACCGGCTGTTGTTATGCTTGCTGTGACGTCAAGTTACTCCGTTCTCCGCTTGTAATTATGCCGAAGCTTCAACGTTGTATTTATCATCTGAATCCGAAACAAGTTTAATATTCTGAAAGCCAAGACTTTGTTTATTTGAAACCAGATGAAAACAAACTGTAACGGACCCTGCCGTGTTATCTATGATTACTATACGCCTTACATTCATAACTTCAGCCGGAGGGAGGGAGGAGTGAGTGGCGAGTGAGAGCTGTCATCTTCCCTTTACAAGCTTCAAAAATGTATTTATTGTGTGATTTTGGAAATAAAAGTTTCATATTCTGAAAGCCAACACTTTGTTTATTTAAATGTTTTTTAAAAACATCCGAAATAAAAAACTTTAAAAAAATAAAAAAAATTACACTTTTTTATTGGCCCCTGATCTCCGTAGGCCCCTGGGCTTCCGCCCAGGTCAGCCCGTGCATTAAGGCGGCCCTGGCTGTATGGGTTGATTGTGCGTTAATCTGTTGGTCATGCCTTGGGGTTCCTGTGGGAGGGATCACTGCGCTCTTCCTCGCTCGATTCAGACGAGTGAAGGCGGGAGCTGCGTGATTGAATGTTTTCCCTGCTGAAAAAAACAGCTTAGACCAGTTTAAGATGGTTGCTGGTTTTAGCTGGTGTTAGCTGGTGTTAGCTGGTGTTAGCGAGGGTTGCGTTCCGATAATCCAAAAATCAGCTCCTAAATTCTAACCCTATCTCCTATTCCTCTCCTCTGAGTGAAAGGTCACGGGGTTAAGGGAGAGTGGATAGGAGAATTCAAAAGGACTTAGGAGAAGAGACTGCGGTACTTTAGAGAATCGACTGCACTTCCACTATCCCACGTGTTTCTGATGCGCCAGCGGACGTCCTGAATGAGCGTCTGCTGCTGTGGGGAAACTATGGAGACTACAGTTCTCTATACAGCGGACTACAACATGGATGTTCAATAAGAACGAGGGACTCCTGTGAACTCATCTAGAGACTCTGTGCTCTGACGCTGCTGCTTTATGCTTTATGAACGTGGACAACAGAGAAACAGATTCTTCATGACCAAAGCTGGAGTTGAAATAAAAAGGAAAGTGAAGCTTCTGCTCGTCCCCCTCTCCCTCCGGTCCACATTAATACAAATGATCCCAATACGTATGATTGATGAAAAGATCTTAAATCAATACAGATGTATTTATTATAAACGTTAGTCCTTAACATCTATCTCTGTGTATATCACCATTCAAACATCTTTTAAAAGTTGAACAAACCCCACAGCTCAGTAAAGACTGTGAGATGTTGACTTTATTTGATCATTTCAGTAAAAACTAACGTTCATATTTCTCTCTTTGATTATAATACTGATGAACGTTCAGAACAAAGCACTTTGGCAACTTACCACATACGTTTAGCTTAATGAGCACCGTAACTTTCATGATATCATTTCTCCGTCATAATCGGTTGTTTCCGTGAACGGCCGACTGTTGAGTGACGGCAAATGCTGCGGCTGCAATGCATTGTGGGTCAGCATTTTCTCCTCTCCTCTCGGTGAGGGAGGTCCAGTGGTTCCTAAGCTAAAGGAGGTCATAAAGGAAGTTTGAAACCTCCTTTCCTTTCATCTAGAGAATCAGCTCTTATCATGGCTGCCACTGAGGGACTTCCGGGTCATTTCACTCCGTGAGGAAGGTTCCTAAGAGAAACGGACTATTGGAATGCAACCCTGGTGTTAGGCTGGTTTAGTTGGTTTACCAGGCTGGTCTTGCTGGTTTGCTAGTATAGTTGGCCAGCTTGGTATGGCTGGTCAACCGGGCCAGGTAAGCTGGTGTCTGCTGGTCAAGCTGATTGTCCTGCGGGCTGGCTGGCTGGACTGACCAGCAAAGCCCGCCTGGTAAGCTGGTCAAGCTGGTTAGGATGGTTTGATTTGTTACATTATGGATTTCTCCCCACATACTATTAACTAAGTTAATTCATATGACCTATGGACCTGGTTTGTTCTGTTCTTTATTTCAAGAAAAATAATTGAAAGATTAAATTGTTTTGATTTCATCTATTTAATTTACTTTGAGTAAAATGTAATTAATCAATTAAAATCTGATACATGGAGCAGTTCATTATTCATTCATTTAATCAAACAATTTAACAGTACAATCATTCAGGTGGCATATTCAACGCTACATAGTTTAATGTGCAGGAACTGTGGTTTTGATTGACAAATGTAGTAGTAATGTTATTTAACAAGGCAATATGCTGTGGCTTAAAACAAAGTTTAAGAAAAGCAACACAGCTTTTAATTTAAAACGAAGTCTTTAATTTGAATTGGATACAGGAAGTGGCATTCGACCGACCAATGGTGTGATTCCATCACTCAGCTGAATTTCTAACACTCAATCACAGAAATACCTTCAAAGGGAAGCTAATATGGACAAACGGTCACATCTGATGGCTAGATAAGCATTTCATATAAGACCCCAGGTCTCACAGACCTATGGAAGAGGGAATAGGCTTGAAGGCAAAACAATAAATGGTGGCCAAGGGTGAGTACTTACGTACTCTAATGTGTGGAAAAACTGTTCTGCATTGTTTTACCCATGTTTTGTCATCATAAGGAAGATTTTTGGTGATAATACAAACCTGCAATAATGCATACCAACACCAATTTCTTTAGAAGAGAGAATAAATAAGTTTCAAAAAACATTTACATTTTAATTTGTCATGTGTAAAAATAATCACATCCCTTTTTTATCATCTTATTCACACAACAGTGGTAGGTTCCAACATTTGAGCCTCAAGGACAATTGAAGAACATTTATAACAATAAGAAATGCAGTAAGCCAACATACTAGTAGTAGTAAAAGTACTGGTAACATTTGGCCTTTTAAAGTATAGTTCCCTTTCATAAGAATGCAATACAGAGGTCTGTCTGTCATCAGAAGGTTTTATATAGGATTTTCAGACAATTGTGTTCCTGACAATCACTGAAAACTGTAATGAGTCATTTAACAGTATGTTTACATTAAAGACATGACATATAGCAAACAATGATATTTCATCATTAAGTCAATAATCAAGCAATACATTAAACACAATTCAGGACCCACTTGTATCTTTACATTAAAAGAAAATACATCAATAAAACACTCAAATGTACTACAAGATGCCCCAGATTGGAGCTGCAACAATTACTAAATTAATGAATTATTTGCTAACTATTAAATTACAACTATTTGTAAAATCAATGAATCGTTTTACGTCACTTTTAAAATGTGAATATTTTCCGGTTTATCGTCTTCTATGACAGTGAACTGAATATTCATCTGAAGATATCACCTTAGTATTTGGGCACATTGTACCATTCTATGGAGCACAACAAACTATCGATTAAACAAGACAATAATGGACAGATTAACGATAATGAAAATAATTGTTTGCTGCCGCCCGCCCTACTGCAGCAGATTACAATTACAATCTGATTAAAGCAGACTGTTAAACTCACATTTAATAATCATTTTTTTTAAATGTTCTCAGAACAATGCAGTGAACAGGGAACATCTCTAGAATCTGCAAATGTGTATTGATGGTAGCATGCTATGTTTAAATAACATTTACATGTTTCCATTTATTGATCATTTTCATTCAAACTTTTTTAAGAATGTTGACTCAAACTTTATACACACACACACACACACACACACACACACACACACACACACACACACACACACACACACACACTTTGTGGGAAGGCAGCCAGAAGTGTGTAAAATGGGATGAAAAGCAAGGCAAGTTCACTTTTTCCATCTACATCATGAGAGAGAATCTGATGCAAC